TCTGTCAGTCTGCCCCAGGGCAAGCTGTGGCTACAACTGTAGCTGCCTCCACCAGTGTGTGAATGTGAGAGTGAATGAATAGTGGAATTGTAAGGCGCTTTGAGGGTCTCGAAAAGCACTATATAAATGCAATCCATTATTATTATTATTATAACATTATTCAGCATAATATAGCAATACAGGATCAACTTAAATAAATTCATTTATTTAATTAAAATCAACAGTTTATTTAAGATGCTTTATACAGTAAAGATACTTCAGTATTATAGAGAAAACCTCAAGAATCATCTGATCCTCATACGAGCAGCAGGTGATGATGGCTAATGATGGAACCACAGGGGAACAGCTAAGAGGCAGTGGGGCAAAGTATCTGCATCTTTTATGTTTTTTAAATGTAGTTCTTCAAGTAAAATAACTACAGACCATATAGAGGCAAGTGAAAGTTTTAGGTTAGTTCTCATAAAAAAAGGCCTGTAAAGAAACAGTATACTTCACTTCAGTTACTGACTTTCAGTCACAGGACTGGGGGCAGCAAACGCTGGCATGGAGCGGTTACTTGTGAGGTTTTCAATCTGGCTTCTCAGGAACTTGCGGTCTTGCATCAAATCCTCCACCTGCCTCTCGAGAGCAGCGATGCGTTCTTGTTTGCTCTCCAGCATGCACTGCAGCTTGGTGATGGTCAGCAGCACCCTCGGGGGAAGACCCTCTACTTGGGAAGCAGCTAGAAAAGACAAGACAGCCACACAAAAGAGGATTACAAGCACACAAGTTAAACTTCTGTCATTTTTCTATCAATTGTTGTCTGTAGAAAGGATGGTGTGCTTTTCAGGCAGTCGTTTCAGTATTTGTTCAGGATGAGAAGATAAAATGAAACAAATTATTATCTATTTTCTTAACTATCAACATGTTTACATCATTGCTAAGCCAGAGGCTGATGCTGGCTCAGCTTAAAGGACCATAACCATAAAAAGTAAACTACATGAAGCAGCAAATACTGTCAGAGCTTCCCATACCAGACATGGCACTGCTGGGTGTGTTGTCCTGAACAGCATCTGCTGATGCTCCCGTTTGAAAATTCTCCCACTTAATGATACGAAGGTCGTCTTGCTCCTGCTTTAGCCAGGCAGGAGAGCTGAGGCGCTCTTTGGTCCTCACGGAGCTGGAGTCGATTTCTACACAGGGCGAATAACATGACGGCTCCTGATGCCAAACAGATGACATCTCTTCAAACCTGGAAAAGGACAAGAAGGGGGTATCATAAGCCAAAAAGGTCAAAGGCTAAAGGACAGAATGATGTAAGCTTTCCTATATGGATGACACCCCAGAGAGAACAGGTTTTTCACCAATCACAAGATTGGCGGTATAAATGACACCTCACCTGTACAAGTGCCCATTGGGAAGACTCTCAAGAATCTCAAAAATCACTCCTGATGCATTTATCAGTGAGCGTGATAGATTAAGTGCTTGAGCCTCAGTCACACAGTCCTTTAGACCAGGTAGCAACCCCCTGGCAACCACCAGTGATAAGGGAAAGGTAAGGTAGCACTTTAATTTGGTTTTTTAAGGCAAACATTTGCAGTGTAAAGTTTGTGTTGCACGTTTTAGGGTTGCATTATCCCATGGTGAGTTGTTGCTGAGTATTTTCATTTTCCATGCAAACTGGGTAATCTGCTAGTGACCAAAGAAAGGAGGTTTTTGGTGCAGCAGCCTCTTTTGACCAATTTCATGTAGCAACAGCCAGAAACCTCCAGCAACTACACACCAAGCAATAAGGGAACACTAGTCTCTAGGCCTGCTGAGGCCTTCAGTACTGGTGATGACTCCAGTACTAAACCTAAAACAACTTTTACTGTGTCACAGAAATTTCAGTGTTACATTAATGCAGGAGCATTGGGGTAATGCAATATCTGGAGAAACATTGATTAAAACAACAAAGCAACTGAGGAGTTTTTTCAAAGTTGCAACAGTGCTGCTCAGGAGAAGACTGAAGTGCTTCTAGGGCAGCGGTCCACAACCCCCGGGCCTCGGACCGGTACCGGTCCGTGAGTCGTTTGGTGCCGGGCTGCGAGAGTTGAGGCTCAGGTGTGAAATGTATGGTTTTCAGGGTTTTTATTGGTTTTCAGCGTTATTTTGTTATCGTTTT